ACCTACATCCTTTCATCCTGTCCTCTTCCGCTCACTTCTTCTTCTTTTCTTAACCTGTGGCCAAAACTCTCATCTACACACGTGAAAACACACACACGTGAAAACACACACACACAGAGAATGAAGTCCAAAGCCATCTCCAGCTACAGCCTAATCCTTGTGCCTGTGGAGGGGTGAGGGAGGGGTGAGGGAGGGGGGACCATTCATCTCTCCTCTGCCTCCTCTTCCTCAATCATTTTCTATCTTTTATTACGTGCTCAGCATCTGATTGGTTGGTGACTTTTCTTGAGGATGCACAGAAACTGCACTTCCGTCTTCTTGTTCCGGTTCGGTCTTGATCCGGTTCGGTCTTGTTCCGGTTCGGTCTTGATCCGGTTCGGTCTGACGGAGCTGTGGTTCTGATGACTGTGGTGTCTGGTCCGGACCTGGGCTTCCTGGATGTGTTGTCGCTGCTGCTCTGTAAACTTCAGCTGGAGGCTGCTGCCACCCTGTGGCCACATTTGTGAACTGCAACACCCACTTCTATAATGACCGTTTGATTTTTGGAGAAGTTGCATCGGTCTACACACCCACAACACACACAACACACACACACGACCCCCCTCCCTCCCTCCCTCCCTCCCTCTCTTTCTCTCTCACACACACACACGACCATCAGCGCCACCTTCAGCTCCCCTCTGTGTCCCCCCCACCTCACCCCCGCCCCTCCTCTCTGGACTGGATAAATACTGCTGGAAGATATATAACGTGTTGCTATGGTGATCTGCTGTGGGTTCGGTTTTTTGTGGCGTTTATGGCAGGGGGGGGGGAGCCGCTGGTGCACGAGCAGCTCTGAGCTCTGCTGTGTGCATTGGTGTTAAAACCTGTTTATCTGTGAGAGTAGATGATGAAACGGGGGAGGAGGGGGGAGTGTGGGAGTGAGCCGTGGTTTCTTCTGAAGAAGAACATTCACAAGAATAAAAAAAAAAAATAAAAAAATAGATGAGAGACCCAAAAATAGGAGACTCTGTCCCGGCCTGGTGTTTTGATGCAGGCCACGCTCTCTGGGGGGGGAGGGGGGGGTCCTCCCCCTCATCTTCTCCTCCCCCTTCCACCACCCGTGCTCCCCGGCCGCTCATCTTCTCAGTCTTCCTGATTGGCTTCCGTTCACGTGCACGTGATGACGTGTGAACGTGTTTGTGTGTGCGTGAGTGTCCTCGATCAATTAACAGCAGCCGCTGCAGCCGTCAGCGTTAGGGCCTGATGTCGTTGACATCCAGAGGGAACTAGTGCATCAGTGATCACCTGTCTGTCACTGGAGGCTTCTATTGGTCAGAGCCACCACTCTGTGTGTGTGTGTGTGTGTGTGTTACCCAGATGGCCTTCGTCGGGGGGTTTTCTGGAACATTCAGACACTTGTTGCTTTTCGTTATGTCTCTCTCTCTCTCTCTCTCTCTCCTTCACACACACACTCTGCTTCTTTTGAAGTGTGAAACAGCTTGCGGTCGCTCTGCTCCTCGTCCGTGCTCCCGTCTTTATCTCTTGTGGATCTGCAGTGTGAGATGTCAGATGATCCACGGAACTGGTCGTTGGTCCTGGAGTCCAGACCTGGACCGTGCCACAGCTGTGTTTGTTATCATGAGTGGGGTGTGTGTGTGTGTGTGTGTGTGTGTGTGTGTTGTAGGTCAGACCTGTGGTCAAATCACTAAAAGACATTAATAATGGGTTTTTTTTTCACTTTCACTCACAGTTTTTGTCTTCGTGTGAGAAACATACCAGGACAGAACAAAGATCTGACGGTGTTAATTATGGTTCGTTTCTCTCTTTGATTTGGTTGTTTTGGTGCCTCATCCAGGGGTGAGAGCGTGGCATCAGGGCTGAGCCACCATCATGGAATTAATCAAACTTCTCCGTTCGACCTGACGACAGTCGGGTCGTGTTGTTCCCAGCCAGAATAAGATCAATCCGAGGGTTGGACCTGGTTCCAAATACTGCAGCTCATTCCCACTCTCAGATGTTTTCACTGGATTTCTGTCAGTGAAATAATGGATCCGTCCTCTGCTGCTATTGATTTCCCTTCTCTGTTCTGATCCGTCCAGACCACCTCAGCGTTCTGTCCTCAGGAACTCTAGGGCTGGGACCACTTTGTCCTCGTGGACGATGACTTGACTGATGTGCACACTTCACTGTGGCTTTTATTTCTGTATTTATTCATGTGACCTCTGGTCACTGTGGAACACGGACGTCATCTTTGACTTCTTTCTTGTTATGAAACTTTGCCCAGAGACAAACGTCACCTCTTTTTAAATATGGTTGTTGTTTTTCATCATCTCCTCTCAGAGAATTTGTGACTTTTTATTTGGCTAATGTCCAGTATTGTCTTGACTTCCAAGCACTGGTGAACCTTCTGACCACAATATTTAACCATTGACTTCTGTGAAGATTAGATGAAGATGGCAGTCAACAACTGAACAACAACTGAACAACAACTGTCAGTGACACAGAAAGATGTTGTTGTATTTATTTTTGGACATCAGGTTCCGTCCCCTGTTTGTCACTTCAGAGTATATTAAGATCATTGTCTGCAATATTTAGAAGAAAAAAAAACAAAGTAGCAGAGCTGGGTCTGTACCGCCCTCGTGTGGTGGAAAAGTAAAACTGTCAACTTTCCTTCATCATCAGACCTTCTTGCTCCCTGATGACTGAGGAGAATAAAACTGATAACTTGTTTTATGTTTGATACACCGACTCTCAGCAGCCATTTGAAGATGAAATGTAAATAGAAAAATAAATTAGACTGAAGACGGAGGCAACGCCTCTCCCCCTCCTTTATCTACCGTCAGTTCTGCTCCTCTGAGAACCATCGACACGTGTTGTTTGGATATTTTCTGATATTAATGTTATAGTTTTCACTTGTATATATTTGAACGTCATTATTTTTTTAGTACCCTGTGAATTTCTTCATCTTTCTTTCCATTTTGCCTTTCTTTGTACCATGCTGCTCTGACCTACATTTACATTTTTGGATCATCAGCTAACAGGCTAGCTGCTGCTGCTGCTGCTGCTGCTGCTGCTGCTCCTCTAAGGGTCTAAAACAGAAGAAATGTGAAGACGAGGTAGTTAAACACATTTGTTTCTTTAATGTCATAACTGTTTTGTACATGGATACCCCAATGGTTTTGCACTTCTTTTTTCTTTCTTTTTTTTTTTTTTTTTTACAATATTTACCACATGACAACCTAAATGTTATTTACACACATTACACAAGATTGTATCACAAAGCAGTGTGTTAAACTGGCAAGAAGGAGTTTCCAAAGCCTGGTTTAACCACCAGATCTAATGTCCATGAACGGGCGGACAAACTATTACAGCCACTGAGCCCTGCTAATAGAAAAGCAACTTCAGTTCACAGCTGAAATCAAAAGTGTTGTCTTTGAAGTTGGGGAGATGAAATGAAATGTCAACACTGCATGTGTTCAACTTGTTGGCGGTTGGATCCATGTAAACAACGTGGGTACATTTTCAAACACTGCTACTGTTGTACAAACTGCATCAATCAGTAAAGTCAATTGTTACGGTCTGTTTTCATTCAGACCCCTATGAATTGGACAATGGTACATGCCACGACGCCTCTTTTTTTAAATGACTACATCTTGGTTTCAAGTCTATGATCCCACCATTCAAAACTCAAGCTAAAACAGACACCGTCGTCTGTGTACGTTGGACTGACCTGCTTTGTGATAAAACCCTAGTTTTCAACTACAGAAAAAGGAGAAATTTAAGTCAAACAGGAAATTGGGTCGAGTGGGTGCTGATGCAGAACCTGCATCCACAAGCAGACAAACACACTCGTACGCACACACTTACTGTTGCACAACGACCACATATACTGTAGCAGCTTTCTCAAAGGCATGACAAGTACAACACAGTAAGTGGCAGTTCTGCTGTCAGTTTTGCAAGCACGCAGCAGCAAAATGGGAAACACGCTGACAGGCTTCTTCAGTAAAGCCACACAGCAGGGAGGCAGTTCAGCCTGGTGGAGCCCTGGGATTCGGTTCTGTCTGGTCTGACCAGCACTCCAGAGGAGGAGCGCGAGGAAGTACATTTGAGGAGTAGGAGGGGGAAGCACGCAAATAATGGACAGCCGCCCGTGCTTCTGGTTATTGGATGTGATGTCCTAACAGAGCAGCGTAGTTAACTATGGCTAACTGCAACACGTGCTCACGTTCATGTGAGGTCTACGGAAGCAACACAAGAAGATGAAGTATTTTTGTGAAGCCAAACATTGTGAGAATTTAAGCATGACTAGTGTCACAGATGGGTGAGAGAAGGAGAGAACCCGGTGATTCTTCCTTCGTAGCATTGCAACTTAGATGAAGAGGAAGATTTCAGAGGTGGCCAAGGCATCAGACCTCATCAGCTGTCCAGTTGGCCATCATGGAGAGGACAGGATGGATCAGTGGTGTTGACATAGTTCAAAGCATCCTGTTACGTTTATGGGCGGGTGAGTCTGTAATGACGTCACTACAGGGCACTGAGCCTCGTTTACGATTGCCTGAGGAATCCAAATGAAGTGCCATTTCCTCAGCAATGAACGTGTTGAGATCCACGTCATGAAGACCATTCCTACGACGACTGAGGGGCTGGGCGGGGTGAGTTGGGGAACCAGGGGGGCCAGAACGCACAGAAATGCTAGCCATGGCGCCGCTGAGGCCTGAGAGAAGACACAAAATCAAAATTAAAAACAAACCCTGAGCTCTGACACTTCTTTCTCTTTTAACCAAAAAAAAAAAAAAAAAAAAGAGAGACCATCTTAATTACCGTGCAGTGCTATGGCCTCTCTGAAGGGCTGCAAGTCAGTCTCCACAGAACTGTCAGTCTCTGGGGGAGATGGGCGACTTGCCGACACCATGGCAACTCTAGGTGGTGCCCGAGTTGTTCGGGGAGGTGGGACTTTGCCACAGAGGAAACTAATGAGCTCTTCTCTTCTGATGGTTCTTCTGCGTTTCTTCACCCATGCAATTACCTCTTTATTTCTACGCTGGCAGCCCAGGTGGATACCTACATCACAGCTTCTCTGAAGGGCTTCTACGCTCTCTACAGAAACACAGGGCGACTATTGTTAGCAAACAAATGATTCCAGTTTCACTTTACTTACCACAATCTGAATTACTCTCATCACTAATACATTTGTATCTGTTCTAATAGTGAGTATGAGCTACTTGCCTCTGTACAGGTTGGTGACCGCTGTTGCTGCATTCTGAAAGGGCACCCAGAGAGAGATGCCTTGCTGCTGACATACTCTATCTGCAAAATTGATGTAAAAAGTCAGTTCCATTATCATAACTTTAAATTACATTTGCTGCTGCAAAAAAAGTTAACTTGCACAATCAGACATGTCCTCTCTGGAGAAATGTAAACCCAGACACAGCTGGTGAAACATGCATTGGTTTTATCTGGCGGCTCGATGTTTCCCATGAGAAAGTAAAGTGGGAAATACATAATATAACAGAATACGACCCTCAGTGCTGTATCAACACAGTGACGTCTTCAACACTCGACAAAACGCAATGGTCTCAGAGCTGTTACCTCAACGTGTTTCTGTTTACTGGGTTAGAGACTAACTTATTAACTTTTTTATATATTATAAACTTTTTTACTGGGTTAGAGACTAACTTATTAACTTATTCTTAAAAACTTTTTAAAAAAGTTATGTCATTGGAATTGCTATAACATCAACGAGGGTTTAATCGTTAGGTTTTACTGCTGCCTAATCAAACGAAATCTGAAAGGAAGTGTAACCAGTACTGAGAGAAACCAGTACAGACGCAGTAGTCTGTGCAGAACACACAACTGTATTTACGTTGGTCGCTTCGCCATTTTGTTCTGGGTATTAACAACCAAGCAGTGATTGAGAAAAAACTAGTGGTCTGAGCTCTGGAACAAAACGGCCTAATGTCACCGGGGTCGACGACGCCCAGAGCGGAACGACGTGAATATTGGGTGCATTTTACTGTTAATGAAGGAAGGTTGTTTTCAGTGACTTAACTCCTCCCGGTGAAACGCCATTTTGACGAACTGGGCAACTGTTAAAGAAAGAAAAATCCAAATAATGTTTTGTGGTGAAAAGTCGACCTGTATGTATCGGTTGTAGCTTCGAAAAGACTCAACACAAGTGACGATATATTTGGTTAAACAAAGGTTGACTCGGGCAGTTCGGGCCAGTACGAAACCACAGCCAGCAATGACACACGACGAGTGACGGTCACCGGCTGCTGCTGTTGGCTTCTCAAAGGGTTAGCTTCGGTTAACTAGCCACATTGGGAAAATCTACAAACTACGAAACAATAAATGGTATAAAGATGTCCATATGTTTCACATAGAACGGGTACTTTTTTCCGTTAAGGAAACCAGTGGTTTACATGTGTTAGGTCAATCGGAAACAGCTGTCCTTTGTGTTTCTACACCCGGCGAAACGTAAGCCAGCGGTATTAGCCTACATTAGCATTAGCCTTAGGCGGGTTCTGGGTACAAACCTTTGTAGAGCTGAGCCACGGCAGTGGCAGAGTTCTGAAACAGATGCCACAGCTTTTGTTGACTCTGTTCCGTCTCCTCCTCAGTAGATTCACTCCGATCGGCCTCGGCCAAACACTGACGTTCCCAGTTAGAGAACCAGTGCTCCGGGCCGTGCTCCTGGATCTCTGTCTCCCCTTCTTCTTTCCTCTTATCTTCCATAGCTTTGGTGCTAGCGAGTAGCTTAGGCGCTAGCCTTTCTTTCGATGTTTAACTTGTTTCGTTTCTTTTTGTCGTCACTGTTTTCCTATTTTCTGCTCTAAGGTACTTAAGTGACGAAACGGTTATTTTGCCTGCGTCTTAAAGAAAGGAGTTGTGGTTTTTAGAGCCGCATAGTAGAGGGTCTTACGCTCGTACGCCTGGTATAAACTGTGAAACACTTCAAAGTAATGTACGTCATGACATCATCTAGGCGGTCCGCGTACAGATCCGCCCATTTGTCGGAGACCTGAAAGGTGATTGGTCATAACAATTGATTGTAGGCGTGGTTTGGTTATATTCACTAAGTCTGATTGGATAAAGGCAAACAGAGGAAAGGTCAGAAGGAAAAACAATGGCGATCACTGACTAGGGGTTGACACGTATCATTCCGCCCATTAGGGGGCAGCGTGAGCGTGAAACTGTCTGATGAAATGTACCCAAATATACACATTGATACCATATATATTGGTATATATGACATATATTACACGAATAAATACCTCGTCTTCTACATGTGAAACTTTTATAATTAAAAGAAAATGTGCCTCATCACCTAAGTCTCTATTTGTTTTCTCAAGAGTTAGCGGTTACTGTGTAAACAGACATTCACACAGGGTATTAAAAGTTCAGGCAAAAACTATTCAGACATGGTTTTATTAATCCTACAACATGAAGCACTGATTTGTTACGTCAGTGTCATATTTCTTTTGCAGGTCTATAATTGAAATTACTTGTAAATTATTTCTGCACATAAAACACAATATTCTGTGTATTATGAATAAATAGACAGAAACAACCATTTCTGCTCACCTTTATACATAGCATATGAATGTGTGTGTGTGTGTGTGTATACTGTATGATCATCCATGACAGATCCCTTGCTGTGAGTCAACAGCAACACTCACCTGAACACACTACAGTATAAACAGATTGGTTATCACGGAGCCTGATTTACATCTGGGATTGTAAATGACGGGGTTGTAGGGTAAAGTTCAATGTCACACTATCTCTGTGACAACATTCATAAGCCTGTGGACATGATCATGGTCAATGAGTCCAAAGATCTGCTCCGTTCAGACGCCAGCTCTTCCCCTGCTCTCTCTTCGTCTCTCCGCTCGGCTCTTCGAATTCTCTGATGCCCGTTTGCTTTCGGGACGATTACTTTTATTTTGAAGATGTTTACGGGAGACCAGGAATTTATCCCTCAGGAGGAATGTTTTCAGGAACGAGGGCCGACTGTCTCATTTAGCAACCTGCACTACAGTATTCAGGAGACAAGATGCTGCCGCAACACAGGGCTTGAAAAGCAGATCCTGAAAGATGTGAGGTAGGACCTGACAGTTCGCTGCATTATACAGTGTGTTCCTGCTGCATATAATGACTACACTAAAAAACAGCTCTGCTGTGAAGTATTAAAGTAAAGTATAACAGTTGTTATTGTTTGTTTGTTTTCAGTGGTATCATGAGACCTGGGATGAATGCCATCATGGGCGCAACAGGAAGCGGAAAAACTTCGTAAGAATTCCACACAGATACTGTTTCATTAACAAAAAAGGAAGATAAAAATCTGCGTTTTAATTTTTCTCTGCCTTCAGACTGTTGGATGTCTTGGCGGGAAGAAAAGACCCTGCAGGGCTGCGTCAAGGACAGGTGTTGGTGGATGGACAGGCTGTGACGTCTGAGCTCAGACTCTGCTCTGCTTACGTGGTTCAGGTTCGTTTTGTGCTTGTTTTTTTTTAACCTAAACTTTGTACAGTGGATTATTGTGGCTGTATGTCTGTGCATGTGCAGGACGACGTCCTGATGGGTACCTTATCTGTGAGGGAGAATCTGCTGTTCAGCGCTAACCTGCGTCTCAACCCAAAAGAATTCTCCACCGCAGATAAACACAGCAGAGTGAACGCCATCCTTCAAGACCTGGGGCTCACTGACTGTGCAAACACCAAGGTACTGGAGGAGGAACTCTGAGACGGATTTAAATCAAATATGAAAAGGTGCAGATGAAGATTCTGGAGAACTCAGTGTGTGTGTGTGTGTGTGTGTGTGTGTGTGCAGATTGGCACAGCGTTTCTTCGTGGTGTTTCAGGAGGTGAGAGAAAGAGGTGCAGCATCGGGATGGAGCTCATCACCTCTCCTTCTCTGCTCTTTCTGGATGAACCAACCACAGGCCTGGATTCCAACACTGCAAACTCCATCATCAGTCTGCTGCACAAGTACAACCAACCGACTCACTGATCACTGATGTCAGCAAACACGCGCTGGGGAGGAGGGGAGGAGCCTGTTGTTCACTCTTTACTGCCGGGTTTTTCTTACAAACTTTAAACTGTGATAAATCGTAATTTAAATTACACCATGACGTGAGTTGAGTTTAACGTGACGTCCGTACGATGCTTCAACTTAAACCCATGTATATTTTGAATGTGTCTCCAGTCTGTCCAGGAGAGGTAAGACCGTCATCTTCTCCATCCACCAACCACGCTACTCCATCTTCAGACTTTTCGATCATCTGACCCTGATGCACAAAGGAGAAGTGGTGTACGCCGGCGCTGCAGACAAGGCACTGGATTACTTCTCACAACTGGGTACATTCTCTGTGTGTGTGTGTTATTTTATTTTTTTAAGTATGTCTGGCTTCAAGTAATACAAATAATATCAGTGATTGTATTTATATTGAGTCCATGTTTGTTCTTGTCTCTGTCAGGGATTTCTGCCTGGTTTGAATCTGATTAGTCTGTTTTATAACAGGTTACCAGATTGAGCCCTTCAACAACCCAGCTGACTTCTTCATGGATGTCACCAGTGGAGCAGCAACATCTTCAATCATGGCACTCGCTTCAGGTTCAACCATCAGTCCCAAACTTACACACAGTGTCAAAAATGAACAACCCACAGAGGCTGTGACCACAGGTGTCAAATGTCAACATCAGATTCTATGGGATGTGTAACAATTTAGTATTTTCTCTTTCTCTCGATGTGTAACAATTTAGTATTTTCTCTTATATTTTATTTATTAAGAACAACGTGTCCACATATCAATAAAAAGTAGAAGCGTATAATCCTGCGTTCACCATTTCACCTGACAGTCATCAAAAAGAAAAAGAAACTAAAATAACGGCTCCTGTTCAAAAGGAGGAAACCATAATACTTTCTGCTCTTAAAACGTTACCCCCCCCCCCCCCCCCCCCCCCCCCACCCCCACCCCTCTCTCTCTCTCTCTCTCTCTCTCTCTCTCTCTCTTCAGATATTTCTAAAAACCCTTTGGCGACACAATACCAAGAGTCCTCACTTTGTCGGAGCGTCCTGAAGGAACTGGTCCGTATAAACCAGGACGCTGTGGACGGACCCAAAGGTCAAGGTCAACCCGACTATCCCACTCCCTTTCTCTACCAGGTCAGAAAAAGATTCAGTTTCCCAATAAACTTTATTTCTGGTCTGAGAGGTTTGGACTGAGGCGGACGTTTATATCGTCTCACCTCTGAATGAACTCACTTTATTATTTAATTGGCAGTGGTGCCATAACAATGATCTCTCCACCTGTCTGTCTGTCTGTCTGTCTGTCTGTCTGTCTGTCTGTCTGTCTGTCTGTCTGTGTGTGTGTGTCTGACAGATGCGTGTGGTGTGTGGCCGGACTTTGAGGAACCTGCTGAGGAACCCTCACACCTCTTACGCCCAGCTGCTCATCACCGTTATTTTTGCCCTCCTGGTGGGGGTGGTTTACTTCCAGATGCCCCTGACTCTGCCTGAAGCCATACAGAACAGGTAGTGAAGTGGCAGGATTGATGTCTTCAGTTCATATTAATGTCAAGGTTGAAGGTACGAGCACCAGGGTGTGATGTCTGAGTTGATTATAAAATGAGAGAGATAAGAATCCATGATGTCAAGATAAGGACATGACATTTCACACTGCTTTAACAACGTTGCTAACAGGGAATCCAAACATGATAGGATGACCTTTGACGACCTTTCCTGAGTGATTTTATTGATCAGATCATTTGATTATCAGAGGTTCTTTTTGTCTTCAGGAGTGGTGCCTTCTTCTTCCTCATCATTAACATGGTGTTTGCCAACCTCTCAGCTCTGGAACTGTTCATCAATGAACGTGTCATCTTCATGTGAGTAAACAACAGGACAGGAACTCTGTCCGAGCTCGTGACAAGGTCCTGACCTGAAGTCCAGTTATAGACCAGCATGGCCAACAAGGTTTTAGGTGCAACTCCTAAATGTGTTTTTTCTTTGTTTGTTTGTTTTTGCCTTGAGGATGCTGATGGAGAAGTACAGAGAAGGTCAGAAGGAGCTACATGTACATTGTGTATTTGTAGTTGGTTGTGGTTTTGTATGAGGAAGTCAGGAGTGATAGAAGAGTGTCAGCTAAGGTGAAAGGAAAGGTTTACAGGACGGTGGTGAGACCAGCCATGATGTATGGTTTAGAGACAGTAGCAATAGGCAGAAGACAAAATTCTCAATTTTTCAAAAAATTATACAAAACATCTTTTCAAGAAAAAAAATTTCAAAAAATTTTTTTCAAAAAAATAGACAGACAGGAAGGTTAGGAGAAAAAGACAGAGAAGCCAGATTGAGATGGTTTGTGGATACATTGGTAGAAGAATGTTAGAGATGGAGCTACCAGGTAGGAGAAAGAGAGGAAGACCAAAGAGGAGATATATGGATGCAGTGAGGGAGGACATGCAGGTAGTTGGAGTCAGAGGAGGAGATGCAGAGAACAGGGACAGATGGAAATCAATCATTTGCTGTAGCAACTTCTGAAAAAAGTTGAAAAAAAAAATTTCAAAACAATTTTTCAAAAAAAAATTTTCAAAAAATTTTTTCAAAAATATTTTTTCAAATAAATTAAAAAAAAAAAAAGTTTTCAAGAAAAAGATTTCAAAATTAAAAAAATATTTCTCAAAAAATATTTTTCAAGAAATATTTTTTCAAAATTTTTTCAAAAATAAATTTTCAAAAACTTTCAAGAAAATTTTTTGGAAAAGATTTTGACCAAAATTTTTCAAAAACTGACCTTTTTTGAATGATCAAAGAATGGACAGAATCAGGAATGAGGTCATTAGAGGGACAACACAGACAGGAAGGTTAGGAGAAAAAGCTAGAGAAGCTGTTTTCTTGTTTTATTTGTTTGTTTGTTTATTTGTTTTATATTGTGTTTTTCTTCCCAGTCACGAAAACTCCAGCGGCTATTACCGAACCTCAGTCTACTTCCTGTCTAAGATCTTCGCTGATCTCATTCCCAACCGCCTGATTCCCATTCTTGTATTTTCATCCATCACCTACTTCATGATGGGTAATTATCTGCTTGTGTACACCCACGTCAGTGCAGGTGTATGGCCGGGGCATCAGTGTAGTGTGGAGTCAGTGGTCTGTGGAGGAGAACACGTGCTGCTTCATTCACAGTAAATGAAGACGAGAAGCAGGAAGTTCATTAAAGGAAAACTGTCGACCAATCAGTCTTTCTATCATCCATCCATCTAAGGAAGCGGACTTGGGTCTGGAAGGTTTCAGGTTCAAGTCCAGCAGCTGCCACGTGCTGTTGTTGACTTCAATCTAAATGGATCTTTTTTCTCTTCTTCTTCTTCTTCTTCTTCTGTGATTTTAAAAATCAAAATCTTTTTCTTCTTCTACCATCTTTTTTTCTCACGCATGACGCTGTCTTCCAGGGCTGAGAGCTGGCGCGGAGCCTTTCCTGTGTTTTGTTCTGACCATGGTTCAGGTCAGTCTGGCAGGAGTCAGTCTGGCCTTCTTCATCTCAGCCAGTGTTTCCACCTTTGCCATGGCAAACATCTTCATGGCTCTGCCTCTGGTCTTCATGATGGTGAGACCTTCTCTCATGTTCACCACGTTAGGAATCTTATCAACCATCTTCAGAAGTTATGGTCAGCGCAGAGGTTCTCAACAGGGGTTTAGCGACCCCTGGGCAATCAGTGGTGTTACTGCAAGGAGCTCAAAGAATATTTGTTCGATTATAATTATTTTTATTATTGGTATTCAAATGTACATATAATAACATATGCACTTGATTATTATGGGATGGACGGTCAATGATGTAAAGCTAACATAAGGTTCTAATCAGTTAAAATAACTCTGACCTTTTGACCTCTTCTAGGTTTTTGGAGGGTTCTTGGTCAGTCTCAACAACATGCTGAGCTGGCTGTCGTGGCTGCAGTGGATCAGCATCTTTAAATACGGACTGAACGTAAGAACTCTTCATCACAGTGTGTGTGTGTGTGTGTGTGTGTGTAGGTGAAAGGAGGGGGGAGTTTCAGCCCCTCTGCTCTGTCTCCCCCAGGCTGCGTTCATCAATGAAATGAAAGGACAAGTTTTCTACAGCAACCGCACCATGTGAGTCTGACAACACACACACACACACACACACACACACACACACACATCTGAGCTTCTCTTCTCTACCTCAGCGTTCCAGGAGAGGTGTTCTTGGACCTCCAGGATCTTGACTACTCAGCTTGGGGGTTTTGGCAGAACCAGTTGGCTCTGTTTGGAATCATAACTGTGTGTCTGCTGCTGGCCTACGTCCAGCTGAGACGAATCAACCGCTGGAAATAACTGTCTTTTTAGAAACTGGGTTTTTTTTTATTGCACATGAACTTTTATAGTTGCACTTTCTATCACTTCAAACCGACCAACACACGTGCACTAACCGACCAACACACGTGCACACCAACACACGTGCA